CTTTTGTTTGGTCTCTTCTATCATGTATAGACTTCATTTTTGGGTCTATTTCAGCAAAAAAACCTAGAGCTCTGACCCTAACATTTTCTTCTCTCTTCTCACCCAAAACTCAGAAGCAAACCTAGGTTTTTAAGAGAGAATGAGCTAAAAACTCAACCAGCCCATTTCAACTCGTTTTCAACCTAGAACCAAAAATAACCACCAAGGTTTTGAGCTTCTATTCACTTGGGAACACGTTTTTCTTTGAGGTAACTTCTTTTTTATGTTAGAAACTAAGATTTCAGAGATTAAGATGTTGAAATCCTACTTGAGATTCGGATTTTTGATGTGGCTTATTATGCATGTTGTTTGTAGACTCTTAAAAATGAGTTTCTTGAGGTTTTGGTTCAAATATTAGTTTCTGGGTGAAATTAATGATTTTAGCTTGATATTATTGATGATTATTTGAAGATAAACTCTTATTAGGATGATGATTCATATATTTGAGAGTGGTCTTTGAAGATTAAGATCTGCATGCTAGGTATTTGATGAAATGTTCAAGTATACGTCCTCTATACAGCCTATGTAGATTATATTTTCTTGCTATATATACTTATGATTTTGACTAATCTTATATTTTTTTATTAAATTATACATCTCAAGCTTTACGTGAGTTTTGGAATCACTCTAAACGGATTTTTTTACATTTAGTTATGAATTTTATAAGTTTAGCTAAAAAGCTGTCATTTTCCGAACGAGATTATACTTCAATCCGGATTTTGGGCTGTTTTTGGTTAGTTTGAAAAATCTGGAACCTATCATGTAGTAGCTCTAAAAAGAGGGTTTTGAGTCTACTTTTATTTGCCACTGGTCTCATAATATTTTGAGTTTTGATGAATTTGTTATGAATATTTTCGTAACAATGCACAATTATGTATTTTGTTAAATGATAATATGAATGTGATTTTTGAAAGCTATGGTTTTTAAAGGTTAATTAGCACATTGAAGGCTCCCCACAACCAGCTAGTTTGTGCTTACAAAGTGGTGATCGAAATTCAGGTAAGTAGAGTGATTTATGCAAGTTTATTCTCTTATAAAATTCTTATATGATTATGTTCAAAGAATATTCATGATTAATTATTTTGAAAGAGATTATGATTTATGCTTATTATGTTTTTATGTTTTAAGAGATTTTATAGTATGGTATATGGATGAGAGACTGGGTAAGCAGGGGTGCGAGGGACTGGTACCCCAAATTAGAGAAAATGTCTCTTTGAGACAACTAAAGAAAAATGCTAGTAGAAAGTCTCTTGTTGATCACAAGAGAAAGAGATTCTAAAAATCCCACTTAGTGTTTAATAGAAGAGAATTTGTCAAAATTAGAGAAGGTCATGTATAGAGAGGCTTACTTGGAACCGAAGTTCTGTATCATACCTAAACTAAGAATAAGTATGAAAGTTTATGAACAATGTTTAACAAAGAGATTTCAGCCACGGAGATTTTAGATACTTTATTTGAAATCTACTTATTGAGTTTTTGCTCATTAGTTTTACCTTGTGATGCAGATGATGTTGTTGTTACCGAAGAGTAAAAAAATGATTTCTAAGGTTGGCTGAGTACTCCAAATCCTATATCTAGCATCTTACTTATATGTACTTCCAAACAATAGATGGGCTCAAAATGTTTTTTTTTGTTACTACGTCGCTTTTGAATGACTGTTTAATATCTAAGATTTGTGGTTGTAATCATTTTGCACACTAACTCATTTTGTTCAAAAAACCTTTACGAAAATCTTGTGATGAAATCAACCACAAGTTTCCGTATCTTAAAAATGACATTGTTTTAAGTATAGAAAGTATGTTTTAAGTAGCATCACCTCGCTAAATTCGGCCTTAGACCGGTTTAGCGTTGGGGGCGTTACAGTCAGTGCCCCTTGAACTATGAAACATTTACAAAATACCCTCTTTTGTTAAGGTTTTTAACGGAAGTGACACTTTAATTGATTTATAGTGCATAATATAAGGGTATTTTAGTAATCTCTCATATTTAAACTTTAATTTATTTATTTTAAAAATAAAAACTTATTTGAGTTTTTTTATAAGAAATATAATTTGAGTTTAAAAGCTTTTGTGTTTTAAAAAACTAATTATTAAAAAATTTCACACTAATTGTCAATTGAAGATAAAATAGAAAAGGTAAAAGAAGTTTTAAAAGATAATCTATCCTCTTAGGGATGTCAATTGAGTCGGGCCGTCCATCAAGCACGATGGCACGACACGAAAATTTTTGGACCAGGCACGGCACGAGATTATAATGGGTTAGGTTAAACACGACACGAGGTTGTAGGCCGTGTTGTGCTCATAGTTTTTGGCATGTGGGCCTGACACGACACGACAGGACAACAAGCACGAGCACGATGCAAGCACGACACGACTTATTGAGCACGATGGGCCGGCATGACAAATATAAATTTTTTTTATTAATAATTTTTCGTTATAGTTACATATCTCTAAACAAATATAAAAATTATTGTTATAAATAATTTTTCGTTAGTAATTTGTTATCCTTTATGTCAGTTGTTAGCATGATAAAGGCACGAGTACGGTACGAGCACGAATGGGCCTGGGCTTACGATTTTAAATCTTAGGCTGACACAAACACAGCACGAAGTTTCAGTGAGTCATGCCATGTACGGCACGAAGCTCCCATGAGCCTAGCCGATGATTGACATCTCTACATCCTCTCCCCTAAAAGGAAAAAAAAAAAAAAAAAAAAATCATCCTCTGCTGAACAACATGAGAGATGGCAAGGGAAAGGGAGTGGGTGAAAAGCAATCTCGTCAGCCGACGTCTTGAGTGCTGTTACCCTTTGCGATCTTCACACACATGTCGCCATGGTTGTTCCAATTCCTTGGGAGTTTCCAAAGGGAGGTTGGTTTTCAGATGCTCTACTTGATCTTGGGTATGGAGTGTGGACAGTGGAGCTTGCCATTGTAGCTTTAAGTAGCTTTCTTTGCTCATTTTATTTTCTTTTTTTCAAGGACCGAGAATGAATTTTCGGAACAGAGAGATATGGGGATTTTATTTCCGTTGGCTTGGATGAAATGGAAATATAGTCAAAGAAGAAACGAAGTTGTCTGGGTTCTTTTTATTATAGACACCAATTATTAATGCTCTTGAAAAATATAAATTAGAATGGATGGGTAAAGAGTGATTGTGTATTTTTTATCTCAACCACTATACTCAAATATGCGACACGTGTATTTTTTAACATCAAAATTAACAGAAGGGTTTTTTTTTAACGTTTCATAATTTAGAAAGAGCCGATGTTATATTTTAAAGATTAAAAAATAAAGTGTTACACAAATCATAATTCAGAGAAATTTTTGTAATTAATCCTTAATATTTTTGTATGTACATGGTTGAATAAATTTTGAATCCCGGTCATTGTTATTCTTAGATTGCAGCAACACAGAAACAGAAAAATACAAATGAATATTTTATTTGAATCTTCCAAATTTAATTGTATGTGCCATGTGGGAACTATGTCATGTTTCCCTCTGTATATTACATAACATAAATAGTAGAGGTGAAAAAAAAACCTAACAATCCAACGAACTTGATTAACCCATTCAACCCAACTCATTATAATCCGAATCCGACCAATCTAATCAAGAGATCAACATAATCCATCCAACCCGATTATTAATTGGGTGAGTTCGAATTGAGTTTTTCTTAACCCAGCTTAACATGAACCTACCCAATCTATAATCTATTTATATATAAAAATAAATATAAAGTATAGCATTTGTTTTATATTTTACATTATTTACTTAACACTCTATTATGTTTTATATTATATGAGTTGTTATTATTATTATTATTTGTTAGTTTACAACTTATATATTTGAATTTGTTTTGCATATATTTTATTTTTATATTAGTTTATAACTTATGAGATAATTTTAGAGATTTATAAGACTACTATTATGATGAAAGTTGCTTTATTTTTATATATTTCTTATTTTAGATTGAATGATTATTTTATTTTTTGTATTTTTTTACTTCTTTATTATGTTCACCCTGATCAATCCACCACTTAATTGGGTAGGTTAAATTTGGAATCAAACCCATCTAAATTTAATTAGGTAGGTTAAAAAATCTCAAAAATCCACCCAATCCATTCACTCCTAATAAATACGACAAAAATAAATTTTAAAAAACGACAAATATGAACATTTGCCATTCCCATCCTCGCAAAGAAACTGTCGAACGCCTCCTTGTATATATGAAGAATTCCCGCGAGATTCGAATCATCAATACTTTATAAATAAAATATCTCTCTCTCTCTCTCTCTCTCTCTCTCTCTCTCTCTCTCTCTTTCTCTCTCTCTCCCCGCCCTTCGAAGCTTCCACCAAACTCGAACGCCGGCGGCATCTTACCCAAAGCGGATGTCTTTTTTCTTTTTTTGTTTCTCTCCTTTTTTTTTTTGAATGTTGTAGTCGATTCTTGCAAGCTTTGGAAATCGATTTGGTTGCTAAACTGAATATTGATTTAGGGTTTTATTTGTTTTAGGAGAAATACTCAATCATAGGTTATATTTTTTTTTTGTTAATTTTGATTAAGGTGTCGTATTCTGTAATTTTGTATTGTTTTTTAATCTGTATATTTTTTTCAATGCTTGATCATTTAAAATTTTCTCGTTCTTCTTTTTTTTTATTAATTTTTTTAGCTATTTGATATTTTAGATCTTTCTTGGAGATGCATTTTTTATGAAATCCAGGAATTCTTAGCTGTAGCACCTGAATAATCTGTGTACATTTATAAATAGGTTGACTGTGTTATTATTTGATAATTCGTGTTAGTGATTTGTGTTAGTCATAAGTTAAACTTGCATCACGAATACATTATAATACTGGTACTAAATGGAACTGGAGTATTTATTTGTAGCTTCCTCGGCTGAATTTCTTTATTGCATTGCATTAATGATAGATATTTCTTTTTAGGAAAAAGTGTAGAAAGAGTTTGAGACTTATTCTAGAAGCAGAGGAAACGAAAGTGCAAACTGAGAATTAGGGAAGGGAAGAGATCAGAGAAGAATGGGAGAGCGAAAGATGCTTTCGATGGGCATACGATGCAATCTCTGCGGAAATTTCATGTACAGGGGAACCAAAGTCAACGCCCGTAAGGAAGATGTCATTGCCGAGGTTTCTCTTCTTTCAATCTTTCTCCTTTCAAGTGGTTCCCAACAACAGATTTTCATTATTTACCTTTGTTTTTGGTTGATTTGGTGAATGTTTATGGCTTTAGCATGTTTCTTTTTGTTTTGTGCAAGTTCGTGATCCCTAGTGAAAAACTTATCAACTGTTATGTGTTTGCAGAAATATTTGGGTTCTCAAATTCAAATATATAGATTCTACTTCAGATGTAGCCAATGCGCGGCGGAGATAATCATGAAGCCGGACCCTCAAAATTCAGATTATGTTGTTGAGTCTGGATCAACACGCAATTTCGAACCGTGGCGTGATGAGGATGAGGTAAAATCCTTTTGCATTCTGTAGAGAGGACTATGTAGAAGTTTTGTTGAGTTTTCATCGCTGCTGCTGATGGGAATGGTTTTGTCTGTTTGCTAATGAATAGGTTTCTTTTGCCAGCGAGTAGAGAAGGAGAAGCGGGAAAGGGAAATCGAAGAAATGAGGGATCCAATGAAATCCTTGGAGAACACAACCATGGATTCCAAAAGAACAATGGACAACTTGGCTAATTTGGAGGAATTAAAGTCCATCAAGGTATATATGATCAACAATTGTTCCCACATCGAGGTTTCGGAACTTTTATTGGCTGCTCTAGTTATAGCTACCTGTTCATATATTTCAAATGTCCCATAAAATTGCATTATGATCATAGTCCATCCGTACAATCATGGTGTTTTTCCTTTTGCGTGTTGTACTACTAAATCATACTGCACTATCTTTCTCTTTTTAAATTTTGGTTTCTTTATGGTCCTTTTCTAGGTGAGTTTGTACACTTATATACTATCCTATAGTACTTATACAGGCCTTTATGTTTTCCAGTCCAGATACGCAACCATCAAGCAAGATGCAACGCTTGAAGCCTTGAATTGTACAGCTGTGGAAAAGTTAAAAATCTAAGATTTTTTAATGATAAAATTTTCTGCCCTCTAAGCTAAAATTGTTGTATGCCACTCCTTGAATCACTACCCTTCTAATGCCATCGTCCAATTTCATGAAACTTCTCTGCATACAAGATGTTTTCTGCCAGATGGTCTACCAAAGTGAACTAGAAGTGCAAACAGATAATTCACGTGCTAGTAAACTATTGAAAATTTTAAATGCGCATTTAAATGTTCTTTGCAATTTTCCTTGCCGCCTTATAAATCTTAGCTCTATTAAATTTGGGTGTTCTTGGCTAATATGATGGCAAGAGAAGAAATTGGATGAGGAGGATGAAGCACAAATTAAATCAATCAATTTCCATGTCATTATTTCTCTTGGTTTTGTGTCTTTGGGCCAAATTCTTTATTATGTAGGGGGCTTCTTTAATAGAAATTGATTTTTTTTCACAAACTAACGCATAACTCAAGAAACTATGTTCAAAGAATTCGTGAAGAAAATATTGATGATGATGGTTTCCTAATTCATTATAATCCAAAGGTAGGACATTTATGTTGGTTATTGTATGAATTTTATGGAGCAATAATGTAATGGCAGTAATGTGTGAGCATTTGGTGACAGAGTTGGTTGAAGCATATTGTGGTGGGAATAGTGTCTTAGAAGCATGAGATATAATAGGATATTTATTATTTAATTAATAAAAGAGTTTATTCATCATTTTATGTGCATATATTTATGAATATTTTATGAATATCAAATGAAAATTCCGTGATTGTTTATGTAACCTTAAACATAGTATATAAGTGTTATATACGAGAGGATAGTGTTTAAGGATAATAATCAAAAACATTGTTCATGATGAATTTAATTAAAGTTCAGAATCTTTAATTAAAACATTATTAATACATGTCATTCCCATTTAGAATGGAACAGTTGTATCTGCACTGTTAATATGGTGAGATATTGAATGAGTGTATTTCGCATAATAGGATAGTGTGGAACAAGGACAAAGACACAATATGAATTTCTAATAATTTCCGTTAAGCATAGAAATTCTAATTGAGTCTACCGATGGTCATATATAGAATGATCTTAATCCTGAGTTCTTAACAAACCCTATTTATGAATTTATGTCTTTTGATTTACTTGTTACGGATTCTGAGACCCTGAATCCTATTCCTTGTATTTTGGAGACATAATGAAATAGATAGTTGGGAATGTTATTGTACGAGATGGAATCCATTCCTTCTTGAGAAAGAAGTAGATAAATAATTCTCTTGTGTTGATTCGGTACTTGGATTAGTAAGAGCGCTCTAGTTCATGAATGTGTTTTATGAATCAATATCCATTAGAGAATCAATGGTACTCAATGATGCAGATATAATTAGAGAGGTTAACGGATTCAACCTGACTCTAATTATGAATTATTTATGGAGGATTGATCTATATGTAATGACTATATCAAATGAATACTTCACAGTTTAGAAGTAATTAATGTCTATAATTTCGAGAGTTCAATTCCAAGTTTATAGTGGAGTAACTATTGGAATTAATAGAATTAATTAATTAATTAAAGTGTTTAATTAATTATTAATTTTATTAGAGCTCGGGATTATAGGTCCATATGTCCCCGCGTCGTCCTTGTAATTCTACCAGACACAAAGGGTAAAATGGAAATTTTAGAATTACGGAATTCTAAAATTAAATACTCGAAAAATAATTAATTGAGAATTAATTATTATTTAAATAATGTGATTATTTAAACTTGAATTTGAACACATCTAGATTTATCCATTTAAACTTATTTGATAAGTTGTTCAATTTAGAATTCAAATTAATTTAAGTTTGACTTAAATTGAAATTTAAATTTGAGTCAAAATTGGACTACAGGATAAAAGATGATTTTTCTCTTCCTTCCCTATCTGAATTGGCGCCACACACAGGGTTAGGAAACCCTAGGGTGGCCGGCCACATTGGAGATAAGGGGATGGGATTTTTTGTTCCAAATTCAAAATTGGAGATAGATATTTGATTCTGTTTTGAAGTTTGACTTCTACTCTTTAAATATGATAATGATAGAAAATTATGGACACAATTTTTGAAGCATTATTCAGCCCTAATTGTTGGTGGCCGAATTTCTCAAGAAAAAAGAGAGCAAAAATATTTTTCTCCAAAAATTTCACATCGTGCATGCGTTAGTGTTTGTGGAAATTCGAGTGTATAAGAAACCTGTTTTGTCTCACGTATGCCCACACACACGTCTACGTGGAATCAAGGAATTGACGTGGAAGACTTTGGTATTCTAAACACAAACTTGGAGTAAGGACTGTTCGTGGTCAAAGAATTCAAGTTATCATCCGAGTCGGCTTCCAAGTATTTTTTCGGATTCAGTTCTTGATGTAAATTAATGCGATTAATTTATTCGTGCATAAATTAATATAATCTATAGAGTATCTCAAAAGTTTTTCTGAAATTTTTGTTATACACAATCCGCCTCCCCGCCACGCTTCCACACCCGAATTCGATTCGGGAACCAACAATTGCATGTATTATATTGTCGAAACTCAATGGCATATCTGTATCTAATGCGTGTGCTCGTAATATTATCTGGATTCATTAATCTTTGTAAACCAACCAAGTGACTGACTATTATTAGAATCCATAAAGAACGATGATTTCCATTTTCAGTTGGTCTGATGAAGGTGTTAGAATTCCTGTTATTGGAATTATTTAGCCTGTAGTTCACAAAATACATGTAGTCTTGTGCATTTTGTTTTCTATTCTGAGGAACGACTAAGTTTCCTCATACTCTTGTACACATTTGAAATGCAGAGATGTTGGAAAGTGGAATATTCGGTATTGAATGTAAAAAGTAAACAGGAATGTAAATATAGGAGATTGAGTCAAAACTAGAATGAGGAAACTTGTTTTAGATGATTTGATTTTGTTAGCTGATTTGTCTTTGTATAGTTTCCTAGAATAGTCCTCTTGTATTCCTATTTAAATATACAATGTAACCTATCAATTGTAAGCTCAATACAATATTTTTACCATATACTTGCTGTTAAGAGACAAAGTGTCTCTCAGAAGCATCCTGGAAAACCAACTGACTCGTTAAGAAGTGCCAGTTTTCCTTACAGCTCAAGCCGCAGAGGTTTTACACTCTCACTTTTCTCTTTCAAGCTTTATTGTTTGATTTATAAGCAGTCAAATTTGGCTTAGGTGTTCAAAAGAATGTATGTATTTGTGCTTTTGGGAACAAATAATTTGTTTCCTGGCAAGCACATAAGGTGCTAGATTGCATACCATAGTTGCATGGTCTGAGCTAAGCTCGTCTTGCAGATAAGCCAATTGCGGGTTCTCCACTTTTTTTCTTCCCCTTCATTATGTTTATGAACATGAATTATTGAATACACTTCTCCTGTCTTGCTTATTGGCAGGAAACCAAAGCAATACAGGAACTACCGATAATCCTAAATTTGTCATCAGGCCCTCGACAGTCGGTTTCATTAGGAAAAAGCAGTTGCTGCTTCCGATGGCGACAAAACGGAAAAGGTGGATGAGAGAAGCCAGAGAGCGTTCATGATAAAATCAATGGCGGTGGCAGCGGCAGCGGCACACAAGAAACTTTGCAGCTACACTTCGGCTGCGATGAGGACTAGTATGAACATTAACGACGGGTGTAGTAATGCATATCTAAATCCAATTTCCAGATAAAGAGGAGCTTCAGACGCCTGTTGTACTCGCCCAAAATATAGGTACTCAAATCTTAATTTCGAAGCACTTACCAACCCTTCACGTTCACACAAATTTTCTGATACCGTTCATTTGACAGTTTTCTCGAGTGAATTACAAGGATGATGTAAAGGTGGTTTTAGGATTTTGATGGTGATTGATCGTCTTTGGGTTATTGTCCAACAAAAAAACTACAACATAAATAAAAAACGACGATAACATTTGGCACCTGAAAATTTGGCATAATAACAGTTTAGAAACGACAACTAAATTACCATGAAAGGCAAGACCTGCATAAACGATAAAACCACAAAAACTAAGCGCTTGTTTAGGTCGTTGATTTGAGTTTTTAATTTGAGTTAAGATGTAATTTTATGTGAGAGTTTTTTATTGTAATAAAAAAGTTAAATGTGACTGTTTCTGAAAGCTTTTTACTGTAGTAAAACTCGAATTCTAAACTCAAATCAGTGAAATGAACAGAGCCTAAGGATGCGTTTGGAACTCGTTTTAAAATAAATTTATTTTTTATATGCTAATGAAAATGCAAACGTTTTTAATCTCAAACATAAATCATTTTTAAAAATGTGTTTAGTAGTTTTATTAAGAGATTGTTTTCAGTATAAAAAACTCATTACTGTCTCTCTCTGTTTGAGAGAATTTTTTTCATTTCTCTTTCATTTTATACTAAATTAAAAAATTATTTTTATTTCTACATTTTGTATTTATTGCGTTAAACGTCATTTTTTTTTTAAATTTATTTTTTTCTCAAAAAACGTGAAAGGATCAATTCCAAAGCTAAAAGTACGACAACCACCTGAACACGGACGATATCTTGGCAAGCGATTCGAACTGAAAACGCTACCATAACAACAAATAACTTGAAAACAAGTCTGCCAATTAAGTTTTGAAACGACACCTAAAATCCCTGAAAGGTCAAAGAACCTTGAAAAATACGACAAATAACTTGAAAATGTATTTTGAAAGAGGGCTCGAGCTTAAAAAAATAAAATAAAATAATTAAAAAAATATGATCCTTAAATACGACAAATAACATGAAAATGTATTTAAAACGAGAATGAAATTTTTTAAAGAGTACTTGTAAAAAAAATTAAAATTATTGCTTTTGCTTTCTATATTTCCACACTTTCTTTGCTACCAAGCAGGAGCTACGCATACGCTCTCTCCTTAAGGGGGGGAAAAATCTCAAGGAAAAAGAAAAAGGAAACTTAAGAGAAAAGAGAGAGAAGAGGATTCAAATTTATATCTCAAAATGGTGTTCAATAATGATTATAAATATAATTTAATGATAATTTTACACCTATAAAGTATAAGATTCAAATCCCGCACTCGAAGAAAAAAAAAAAAAAAAAAAAACTATAAAAAAAAAGGATTGCATTTTTTCATTAAGCTCAAATGAGATTCTTTGAGCTAATTTTAAAGAAAAATGACAGGATAAAACTAGGGAATACCACAAGTTTTAAGTTTAAATTTACATATGCCAAAAAACATAAACTATTGCTGAAAATACCACAGTTAAAGATACTTAAAATCATGAAATTCATAAAAATTATAAATATATACAATGACAAACCACAAAATTCTCACAAAATTTAATGGTACTAAATGAAATATACAAAAATACAAGTATAATTTTTCTCAATACACAACTTAAATAATGTCACTATGATATATTTTGTAATAGTTTTAATACTCATGACAAAACTCAATCCAACCTTAAAAACCATGACATATTATCTAAATACCCTCACTCACAAAGTAGTGGGTCCTATTAGGTTTGGTTTTACCAACCCATTAATGGAACTCATTATATGTGAATAGCATAAATTACGGGATGGCAATTCGTGTCACGTGTCGTGTTCGTATCGTGTTTTGATCACTTCTTCTTAAATCTATAGTCAACCTGAACACGTCGACCCATGACACGAAATTTTTTAAAAGCCACAACACGAATACGACATGACCACTTTAGGGGTTGACAAGATACGACTCAAAAATGACTCATGACATGAAATTGACCTGTAAACCTAAAATTGACACGAAAATTATGGGTCTGTTTAGTTCGCTGATTTGAGTTTTTAATTTGAGTTTAGATATGACTTTATGTGAGAACTTTTCTACAGTAACAAAAAAAATTAGACGTGACAGATTCTAAGAGCTTTTTACTGTAGCAAAACTCAAATTCTAAATTTGAATCGATGAAATGAACAGGGGACTATATGTTTTTCTTAGTTTTTACACATTAGAAGTAACTTAAAATTTATAACACGTTAAAATACAATAACATCCATCAAGATTAAGCAAGTAATAGTATAAGATTTTGAGAACAACTATAATGATGTCACAAGTTCACAATAAAATCTAAAATATGTAATAAAAACATATATATGTTGGAATTTATTTACAAATTTTGTGTCGTGTTCGGATTAAATGTGTCTGACACGAAATTAACACGTGTTTTTTGTGTCAATTTCAGGTTAATCAAATGTGATCCGGATTCTTTTTTCTAACTTTAACTCACGAAATTCGTGTCATTTTTTAGTCGTATTATTGTGTCATGATCTATATTACCGGCCTTAAGATAGATAGGAGTGACAAATTTTAGAAAAAGAAAATTAAAAATTAAAATAAAGGATTGCATTTTCCATTAAGCTTAAATGGGATTCTTTGCGTTAATTTTGAAATTGTCGTAATTGTGTTAAGATCATAAGGGTAAACGTGTCATAAAAATATTGTCCCATCGTCAAACTAGGCTTGACCATTGCTTTGCCCATACTGACCTTCTCGTTCCAGGACAAGGAAGGAGCTTTTTGCCTTGAGAGTTGTGTCCATTCTTCTTTTCTTTTCTAAGCGTTCGAATAAAAACTTGACCATGTCGTCCGAGTTCACCGACTCGTTCACTCAGCCCGGCAGTGACGACTCAGTCCCGGCCACCGGGTGGAGTCGCCCCTTTGACGATGACGGCAGCGTAGGCTACGACTCGTTCTCCGGGACTCAGTTCGTCGACTCCGAGTCTCTTAAGGATTCCCCCACTGACTCGCCGATCTTCCATGGCTCCACCGGGCAACCGGTTCCCTTGGCCCAGTATCCTCCGTCGGCCTACGGCGAGCCCATCCCGAAGGGCTCCGATGGATCGGACGGTCCGATTCTGCCTCCTACATCGGAGATGGACCGCGAGGAGGGCTTCGCTCTCAGAGAATGGAGGCGGTAAGGTTTCGAATCGTCTTGTTTCTCGTATTTATCGAATTTATCTGTCACCGATCTGCTCAATGGGACGATGTCTCCACAATTCATTTTGAACTGATCCTCTAGGTTTATAGTTAAAACATTGAAATTTTTGTTTCAATTCATCATTTTCTTAAAGAAATATGTAAGATTTTCATTTTTGGAGTGACGAAGTAACGAACTTTAGATCATACAATTGTAATGATTATTGTAATTTGTTCTTTAGCTTTTGCCATAATTCATTGGCTAGATTCTAGATATGATGCAAATTTTAGTGAAGTTCATGGAAAATCTTGATGTCCTAATCAGAGAGAACGCAATTCGGCTTCAGGAGAAGGAAAGGATGGAGAAGGAGTTGTTGAATCAGATAATTGAGGAAGCCGATGAATACAAACTCGAGTTCTATGAGAAGAGAAAGATCGCTTGTGAAAACAACAAAGCTTCCAACAGGGAAAATGAGAAGGTGAGAATGATATTTTATGTCACTTTTGGATGTGTGTGTCTCTGATACCAAACTGCTCCTTTTCTTTGTTTGCTATAATTTTCTTGTATTAATGATGTCAACACCTACTTATTTACTGTTTTCAATTATTGGGTGGTTAAAATCTTGATAGCTTTTTCATCTATTTTGAGAGTTATAGTTGATGATCATTCTCTGTTCTACAGTGAATTTTTCAAATGTCATAATTTCCAGATTGATCATTGCTCATTTATTGAGTAATGGGTTAAATTAGGATATGAATGGCAGTCTGATAGGCATAGTAAAGAATTTATGTTACTGGGAAGGGATTTAAGCATAATAAACAAAGTTTTACTTTTATGCTATCCTACATGATGGTTCCTCCCTCAGGTCAATATCTAGAATTTCCAAATGATGAGGTTTAGGGTACTAGAAATTGCATGTGATGGTTTATTGCAGCATTAACAATTTTCATTCTTTCTCCAATCTCTTTAAGCAAGCTCTGCATATTGTAACTGAACTCGTTTTTTTTTTTTTTTTTTTTTTTGCCTTTTCGTTTTAAATCCCCTTGAGATCGTATTTCCCTTGTAACTGAACTCATTTTGCAATTGTTAAAGTAGGTGAAGATTCTTTCTTTACATTTTGTTCTGTCAAAATTTTTCGCTGAGAAATCATGTGACCGGGAGCATAAAAGTGTAACGAATCAATTATGTTGGTTATTCGTAATTGCTTTCACAAAACTTGACTTTTCGCAGCAATGAATCTGATTAGTAAACGTTACCTAGAAATTTTGTTGCTTTTAGAGTTGATAACTTTGTCCTATAAGTTTCACTCCATAAAAGGTGTCCTATAAGTGAAATCTTGTATATCTCTAACAACTAGAATATGAAGGTTAGTGCTTAGTGGTATTAATTTTGTTCTACAAACCTTGAATATCTATGGAAGAACGATATGCGTGCTCAGCTGATTTTTATCCTTTTGGAGTTATCCAGTTGTTTTTGGCCAATCAAGAGAAGTTTCATGCTGAGGCTAATAAGAACTACTGGAAGTCAATCGCCGAGCTTATTCCTAATGAAGTGCCGACTATAGAAAATAGGAGAGGCAAGAAGGATCAGGAAAAGAAGCCATCCGTTGTTGTCATCAAAGGTCCGAAGCCCGGAAGGCCAACTGATCTTTCAAGGATGCAGCAGATACTTGTAAAACTGAAACACAACACACCTGCCCACCTAAAGCATGCTCCACCACCACTGGCAGCCCCCGGAAACGATGCTAAAAGCACTGCAGCTCCCACTGCAGCAGTGGCCTCTGCGGCTGCCCCCGTTAAATCTGTGGCTGTTGCTTGATAATTTGTCCCCAGCTTTCTTTGTCAGTGTCTCTAGATGATATTTCGTTGTAAGTTGTAAAAGGCTACTCGGTTAGAATGTTGTTTTAATTTTTGCCTTTTTATGTATAAGATAAGAAACCGGGCATCAGAAGAGGGCAGACCTTCTATTTGTTATATAGTATATCGTTATTATATCATATGATATCTTAGTGACAATTCAACAATAATTTTTTACTTTTCTTCATTTATTTTTTGGGGTGAGGGGTGTTGAGAAGAAATTCAAAAGATTAAAGCATATCAATGAGTTGAATTTGGAGCTTTGGATCGAGTGAAGATCTAGTAGAAGCTATCCTAGTTAGGGCTTGTTTAGAAGAGCTTCTTAAAAGCTGCTTTTGGCTTTTTAGGTTCAAAAATTATTTTTGAAAGTGTTTGGATGATCTGCAAGTGTTTAATTTTTCATAAGTGCTTCCAATCCAAGTCACAAAATTAGGCTTTTGAAATAGTACTTTTAAATTAAGTTCAATGTTTATAACCGAGTTTTATTAAGGTATTATAAATTTTATTTCAACATTTTTATTGCTTATTAAAAAATTTAAAAATTATTTTAACCTAATAAGCTTTTTTTAAAAATAGAATTCCAGACATTTTCTGAAAAATTTCGTGTCAAACGAGCCTTTAATGCCAGAGTTCAGGACCCAACTTTGTCAGCAAACTTACTATTCATGCTACATTAAATAACATTTTAAGAGAAATTAAAGGCTCGTTCTTTCGAGTGAAAAACTCAAAAAAATACAATTTGAGTTACAATTTTATTTGAGTTTATGTTCTTTTAAGTTTAAATTCGAGTTTAAACTCGAGTTCAAACTCGAGTTTAAGACTAAAACTCGAGTTCAAGTTTCCCCTTCAACTCGAGTTCAGAAACTCGAACTCAAATTAATGAACAGTATTTTTTCTATTCTTAAAAATGCTATAACTTTTTCGTTTTGATTCTGATTGAGATGATTTTTTTTTCTATGCGTTGACAACGAAAAGACGAATAAAACCCGACTCATATACGCTATTAAAATTTTTCATCAACATTGAGTTTTTATTTAAATGCTATATAAATACAAATTCAAGTTTTGACTCACTCAAACACAAACTCAAAAAGATTCTTATCTCAAATCATAACTCAAATGTATACAACTAAACACAAACTCAAGTTACAAGTTCAACTCAAGTTATAACTCAAATTCAAGAATCTCTTCTCTATCTCGGCTTTTTATTCGTTTTTTCCATCTTCCTTTCATACTACCTTGGAAAATTCTGCTCTTCATAAGGTGTTCTTGCTGGTTGGATAGTCGATATATATTAATTAGGTAACCTGCTGGCGGTGCCTGGAAAGTGATCTCAAATTTAAGAGTACCTTTTAGGGAAAAGGAAATGTTGCAATCTTGAAAGTTTCTTGACATTAGAATCAAGCCAAAAGTTGGATTGGGCAAAGGCAGTAACAGTACAATCAACAGTGATTATGAAGCTTGACTTTTGGGCTATGAATCTGTGGTCCTGCAACTGGATATCGTGATCCGGATGATATAATATAAGTATTGATGTCTAAGTATTTGCTCATGGGTAGTGAGATAATTTGGTCCACTGTTGTATTTGTATCTATTTGTTTCATCGTTCACCTTTTCAGACGGTTTAGAACCAAAATGGCTACAAGTTGATATGGTGAATTCGAAAAAGAAAATAGATCTTTTTCGGTGCTTCCTTGTATTTTGAACAAATCCCCAAGCTCTAAAAAGAGGACGAAAGGAACTCGATCAACTCATGAAAACAAGTACATGACACTACACCGTGAACGAAATGAGCGAGGAAGATTGTTCAGAATATCACTAGTTACCCTACTATTACAAAGACAATGATGAATTGCAATTAAAAATTTAACCGCGAATTCTTCCAATAAAACTTCACATTACTACTCATTGAAGCACAACTCTGGTTAGCTCTCACTGAATCCAGTTTTCTCTCGACTACCAAGAGCGTTGCAATTCAATATTGAAACTGCAATTTATGTGCAATAAAAATGCCCCAGAACCATCACCTACCAAGCACACTAGGAGGAGACCGACCGCCTCGCTCGCTGCCTATATCGTCTTCCAGTTCACTCCCATCTAAGCAAAGGCCATTGTTGTTGACACTGACTTCAGAACTAGCATTGCTGCTTGTGGCGAGCGGAGAATCTGAAACGCTAATTGCTCTGCTCCGAGCAGACCCTGCTCTCACACTGTACATAGAGGATGCAGGAATATTTGTCATCAACGGTCGCAAATTACCTGGGATGGTTCTCCTAATATCCTGCAGTCAAAATCTGAATCAGAAAAAATGACAGAATGCCAAACTTCCAAGTCTAAATTTGAGGAATAAAAAATGCTCAAATATAGAAGGTAATGGGAAAATAGGTCAACGCAAACATCAGCATAGACCAAAAAGCAGCGAAACACTTGATACAAATAAGTAGTAATAAAATATTGTATTCTGTAATAAGATATATCGAGTCTCAGACTCTCAAATAAACATAGGATGCGACATAAAATAAAATGCAGGAGACACATACCATATGCCGTATAGCCATGTCCAGGGACTTCTTTGAGAGTGTTCTACCAAAGCCTGAGCTTTCAGGAGAAGATTTTGCAGAGAGATGACCATAAGGAGAATGTTTATCATCTTGCTTTGGTGGTGCCAGTTTCCGCATATTTATTACCCTCTCCACCATTTTTGTTCCAATTAAAGCAGGGCTCACATTGTCATTGATTTTGTACTGGTTTCGACTTCCTGCAGGAACAGAACTTCCACTAGGGTGAACCATCCCATTGGGAGCGCGTCCTCTTGAAGGAGAGCATGATTGCCGTCTTGGCCTTCCACTTGAAGCAGGCTCGACAGAGGAAGATCGAGCACTTGGTGCTCCAGGCCTACCCCTGGTGGCCGACAGTGGCCTGTCAGGAAGTGATGTTCTTAAATTAGGTGGAGCATCAAGTGAAAAACCTGGCATCTCTGAGGGCTTCCATGGTCTGGATTTTACTGTTGGGGATGCTCCACGTGAGGGTACTGGATTTCTAGTTGCCGTGGAAACTGGCTTCGCAATTGAAGAAGAGGATTTAGATAGAGGGGCAGTTACACTGGGTGCAGATGATGGTGTTGAAGGTCGACGAGTTGGTGTTGATGCCCTTGATGTGGACTTGGGAGCAGGTACAGTAGGTCTGGAAGTTGGTGTTGAAGATCTCGCTGTTGATCTTGACAATGGTGTTGAAGATCTTGACGGAACTGTTGGCTTGGTTGTGGGTGAAGGCTTAGCCGTGGGTGAGGGCTTAGCCGTGGGAGAGGGCTTAGCTGAGGAAACTGCAGACCTAGTCACAGAAATTGTCAGCTTGCTTGAAGGCAAGGTTGCTCTAGAAGTAGGTGTTGATGGTCTCGAAGACTTAGACGTTGTAGTCAATGTGGGACGTCCAGTTGGTGTCAAAGGTCTTGATCCTGGACCTCCTGATGATGATGGTCTCCGAGTCCCAGCACCTGTAGAATTTAACGCAACTCTCGAAGAATTCAACCCAGGGGATGAAGCTGGTTGTTTATTTCCTACGCTGCTTCTGGGAGGATGCTCAGGCTGGGGGTTTGCCAACTATAAGCACGACGAAGAAATGTTTAAGCAGACAGTATTTAATGTTTCATGCAAAATGAACTGAAATATAACAATAAAACGTATCATGGAAACCTATTTACTCTGATATCATCTAGAAGATAATAACACAATGACAAGTGGCATACTCCCGTGGAGTACAATAACTTATTTTCTTAGAGGCACCCAAGTATGATACTTAGATTAATAGACAAGGACAGCCTTTCCAAAAATACAGACAACGAACTCCAGTTTGTAACAAGAAGTTCAAGAATTTGGAAGTTCAAATGAAACTGTGGCTTCATTGAAATGTTAAGGTGGGCTTCATTGAAGATATGCGAAAAGACATCAAAGTGATAACTCCTCTGCTACTTTTCTGCTTCAGTTTTTTCATCTTAAAGTTGTGGCAATGGTAAAAAAAACCAGCAATAATTACGTGTCTATAATTTGGAAAATAGAAAAAGCAAAGTTCTCTAAGAGGCCTACAAAAATAATAGCAACTTCCACTTGGACAGAAAATTTCAAGGCCAGCAACATTTAAACAACCACTTACATTTTCTGACACTTCAGAACAAGGAATGCTCCAATTAAAGTTTTAAGAAGGTGCTTACTCTAGATTTCAGAGCTGTCGGACGAGCCTTAGGTGTACCAAGCTGACTCATCAAGGTCTTTTGTGATTCCATCTCCAAAGAAGGAAAAAGTGGTGTCCCGGGGGGTGTTAGGAGCCTGAAACAAAAGAAAAAAAAAATCTAATTGATGCCAACTCAGAAGACAGATAAATGTATCCGTTTCCACCAAAGTTGTATTATTAACCCAACAAAGTTATATATGTTAAAAACACAAACACGGACACGCAGCACTCATTCATAGCAATAGGGGTGAATTCCTGGAAAGATATGTTCTAAAATTCTCTCCACAAAAACACCTTGATGGCTTTCGTTTCATTCCTCAAAAGTTTGTATCCTATACATGTGCAACTCTGAGTTGCACATATACGTGTGTCCATCTATGTTTCCTTTCTTGTGCTACATCTGCAAAAGGTATTTGCTCCCAACAACAACTCACAAGACAATTCTAATTGTGAGTATAGAAAATATTCTCTCGTATCCTTTAAAGATTTTCTTAAACTAGATTCCCATCTTGGATAATAAACAAAGGGATGGAATTTAAATTTCAAAAGAAAGCCTACTTTGCATGTGTATGATCTGCAACACATTATAGTCTCTGCAAGTGGAACTCTTTCCAAGCAAAATAAAAAAGAAAAAAATAATAGTAATAATAATAATACCACACAAAGAACAATATAAAATGGAAACGAAAATTCCAACAAACCATTACCAGTCATAGTCATTCTTATCATTGTCAGAATTGAGAAAATCATCAGCACCAGTCTTCCGCGGCGGTGCCGGCGTTGACGATGAGATGTTAAAAATCGGAGAAGTTCCGGGTTTTAATCCTGCAAAAATTCATCGATTAGGAATTTAAAAATACCTAAAATAGCAAGATTTTCAAATTAGGTAAGAAATGAACCACAGAAAAAATAAAAATTGAAGAAATAATCCGCACACTTCAAATCAGAAACTTGAATTTCTCTACCTAATGGAGCATCGAACTCTTCCGAACTGTTGAGAAGAAGATCGTTCCGCTCCTTCTCGCGCTTTTTCATCTCCAGAAACAATGCGAGCTCTTCCTCTTTCTCTTTCATCATCGAGGCTCGTAACTGCTGCCTCTGCTTCATCGCCGCTAGCATCTGCGATTCTGGAGCCCTAAAACTACGATTCATCTTCGAAATCCAAGTCCACGAACCAAATTTAAAAATATATATAATTTAAAAATATCAAAGAAACCTAACACGAGATTCTCTTTCACGTCTCCAACAACCGCAACAAATTCACACCAAACGCTTTGTCGTCGCCATCAAATGGCGCTTCGGAACCAAACCGAGACAAAAGGTTAGATCTGAAACCGAGGTCAGACGGCGTGCGAGTCCGAAGCACAAATTCTATGTATCAGCATTCCATTTCCTCTCTCCGAAGGGGAAAAGGCTCAACGAGGAAGCGAAAGTCGCAGAGGACCCAAAGCTTGAAGCGTCTCAGCTCGAAGAGGCCGCCATTTTTGCTGTACGAACTCAAGTCGCGTGTGAGCTAGAAGATGAGATAGCGAGAGAGAGAGAGAGAGAGAAAGAGATGAGATGTATTCAAGGAACCGCCATTGATGAAGAACGAAGCTCGAAAACCTCGTGAATGGGAATTGCAGGGAGTGAAAAGTGGAAGAAGATCGGAAATTTCAGAGAGGAGAGGAAGGAGAGTGGCATTAAATGGTAAATATTAGAGGATTTGGAGTCCGAAATGGGGGAAAATGAATGGGGTTGCAGTGCAACTGCTCTTGTTGTTTCTCTCACTTAAAGACTACGTTCTCAGGTTGGGCTTTCTGGTGCGTGAATAATCACGAGATTGCCCTCTTTTTTTATATATATATATTTTATTTTTATTTCACTTGTTGTTGTTGTGTGTGTCTTTTTTGAATTTTGAAATGAGCGTTTCTGCAGTTTAGTCCTTTTGTTTTGTAGTAATTGTAGTTGAGGCCCTATTTTCATGTGGAGTTTTCACATCATCGCCGGTGGGGACCTGACGGGCTCATACGGAAATGAATGGTAAAGGATATCAAGTGGCATTTTGATTTTGTCAACATGAATGTTCTTCTTTTTTTTTTTTTTTTGAGATTTTCTCAGACATGTCATTTTTAAAATTAATTTATGACCGTTAGATTCACATTAAATTTAATAAATATATAAAATAAATAAATTTTTATACATATTGAGATTTTTCAGTAATTTATATTTTATGATCTATCGATAAATTTCCTTTTGTTTTCTTTTCTACTAGAAAAAATAGGAATGCTGTTAAATTGTCTGATGAATATTCTTGACCTTTAATTTGCAAAAAAAAGGTGTAGCATCCACATTCTAGTACCTAAAAGTTTTTCTTTCATTTAAAAGATGCCATTTTTAGGAAATATGTTTTAAATTTAATTAGCTTGTGCATGTGTTAGTCTGTTAGATATATATTCTTCTTATTAAACGAGTATGGGTTACTAAAAACGAAAAACAGTGACTGTATTGCAGACAAACACAAATAGCTAATGTTTGTTTGTATTATCTTCCTATTTGCGGGACAAAGGAGGGCAATAATTGCGGAATAATATATACTATGTTTTCTTTTTGTTAACTTTTGAAACGATACTTTTTATATTAATTTTATATCTTAATAATAGGAAATGCATCATTTAAATCGTACTATTTTGTTATGAGACAATTGCATGCAGATGAGCAGATGGAATATTGAAAAAGCAGAGAAAAGAAGAAGACGAAGGAGAACGGTTTTGGAAAAAGCTCAGCTCAACACTTGGAGGTTGAGAAAAGAATATGTTATATTCCATCTCTACAAAGTATACCCTAACACGTGTACAAACTAAAGCTTAGCAACCTGTACAAAAGAAATAAAATTAAAATTAAATAACTTTACAGAAGTAGCTTACTTTTCCTATAATAATGTATTTTACTCGGGTTAACACTTCGAGAACCATATTCATAATATGATCCGAGCTAACAAAAGCAAATTACCACAATACAAAAATCTCCATATTATATATGTAGGTCTAATGTTGTTTGGAGTCTTCTCAAAAAATCATATCCAGATGACCGCATGTCGAATAGGCTTATCAAAACATGATTCTATTCCCTGGTTGTACAAAAGTAGTCAAAATAAATGTTCACTCTTTAAATTGAAGAATATTTATATGCTTAGCATATATAAGATTAAACTACTAGAATCTTCTAAAAATCTCCTTGGGTTGAACTCTATCCTTCAATCTTAGTAGAGTCATAAGTTTGAGTATGATTAAATGGGCCGGCCCAAAATCCGTCATTATTGGTCTGGACCCAACCCAGCGCTGTCTAGAGGTTAAGATCCTGTCAAGATTTTAAACTTAAATATTTATTCATATCATACTGTTCCTCTTTTTTAAAGTTTTTTTTTAAAAAAATTACCTTAATGGTATAATAGTAATTATTATTTTTTGAATTTTATTTTTAATTTTATATTTATAAGTAAAATAAGGGTATAATAGTAATTTAATGGTAATATCAGGAATGTGAGTCATAATCTCAAAGGAAGGCATAGGAGTGCTAATCTCATTCCTCAACACTAAATTTGAGTGGGGCCCACCAATCTCACTCTCATTTTAAGATAAGAAAGAACAAGTAAACATGAGATTGATTCTCATTTCCCACTCATATTCCTCAATCCTAATAAGTAAACATGTCATTATAGTGTCCTAAGTATTTTTCTCACCGGTTATATTAAGGACAAATTTTATAAATTCCCCATGAACTTTGGTACTTGTGTGAACATGCCCACTTAACTTTAAAATGTGCATGTTTTATCTCCTGAAATTTGTCACTTGGGTCAACATGGCCCCTAAGTCTAACTCTATCAACTTTTTTAACAGAAGTGTTTATAAATGCCCATGAACTTTGCTACTTGTGTCAATATGCCCTTGAAATTTTAAATGTACATGTTCTTCCCGTGAAATATTATATGTCTCTAACTTTTTCCCCTCCATCTTGATTCTATCAATTTTTGGAATAGAAATGTTGATATGACCGTTAAATTGCTAATTAGCTATGATATTTGGGGTTTATTGAATGTTTTTCTCTAAAAAAAATATATTAGTTAGGTATCAATTATCAAAATATTAGTTGATTAAAAACAATAAAGAGGGAAAAAAATGAGGAGCGAATCAGTATAATGTAATGAGTTTTATTAGTCTTTTCTTAATAATATTTAACCTAAATAGAAGTGCTCGACATAAAACATATTTTTTTAAAAGTTTCAACACAAACCTTAAGAAACCCATTAACTAAACAAACCTTAAAAAAAACTCTTTACCATAAAAAAAAAACAAATACATAATACAAAATTTAAGGAAGAATCTATCATCTATATTAAGAAATCTATTAATTTAATAAGCTTATTCTAATGAAAAAGAAAAAAAAAAACCTAAAAAATTAACAAACCTATTAACGGTAGAAATTCGTCAACAAGATATATCAAATTTCAGAGTGGTTAGTGCAATGTGGAAGATCAAAAACACGATTAAGAGGAGATTATGCAGTAAGAATGCACAATGATTTATAGTGGTTAATTTTTAATTCAAGAGTTGTGTCTAGTCTCTCTCTCTCTGAATTAATCCTCTCCATATATAAATATCCACTGCAATCTCTACAATTTTTCTTATTTTATTCTGGTATATTTTCCATACATTTGGAGATAATATTCCCGGTAGGTTGGGATTTCTGCTAATCAACATGATTTCCTCACTTACTTCCCTACTTACTTTGTATATTTTAATTACAAATCACAAATCTTGGAACAAGTCTCGTACTTCTCTCGATCTGCATGGACTCGACTTCGTAGGTGCTCTCAGAGCCACCTCCGCTTACAAATGCTGGTGTGGTCGACCTCCTGTTATTCTTGACTCCCCAAAAGTGGTCGACCACCTTTGCATGCCACTTCCTTTACTTGTGGTCTACTCGTAAGTGAACCATCATCCGACGTGGTAGTTAGGGTAAAGCTGTCTCCGGCCATTTAATGCCCTTAATTATGATGCGCGGGTCTCATCCAATGCCCAGCTTAGGGTTTGAAATTTTACCCTACAACAAAATCCATCACCTTTATACAGATTTGCTCCTCATTTCTCCCTCTTTATTGTCTTTAATCAATTGATATTTTGAGAATTGTTGCATAACTAATTTTTTTGAAAGGAAAGACATTCAATAAACCTCAAATATTATAGTTAATTAGTAATTTAATGGTCATATCAATATTTTCGTTTAAAAAATTGATAGACTCAAGATAGAAGGAGAAAGTTAGAGACATATATATTTCAGAGTTTAAATAGCGTATTAACACAAGTGATAAAATTCATAATGCGTTTATAAGTATTTCTGTTAAAAAATTTGATGGAATTACTCAGTGAATATGTTGAGATAAGTGATAAAATTTAAAGAACACAATCTACACATTTTAAAGTTTAGGAGAGGATGTTAACATAAATAACAAAGTTAAAGTTAAGGAAGAATTTATAAAATTTGTCCTAATATTAAGGTCAACTAAAAAGGTTGAGTATAGTAGGATTTGCTGCCACGTAGGACTAACAAGATGCCATTAGCGGGTTTAATTCGGCGGAATCCGTCTTCCGTGACCCAATAAAGCAAACTACCACGTGTACCACAACTAGCCTTTTTTCTGCTCACACTTTCTCATTTGCTTTTTTTTTTTTTCAATTGAAATATGTCCGTTCATTTTGTTAATTCGAGTTTAGAATTTAAAATTTATTACAGTAAAAAACTCTCATAAATAATTACATTTAACTTTTTTATTACAGTAAAAAGCTCTCATATAAAATCACATCTCAACTCGAATTAAAAACTCGAATCAGTGAACTAAACGGGTCCATATTCGTCATGTCGTCAAACGACGTCGTTTTCTTCGCGAGCAGAAATCAAATGATAGATCATAGAAATTAGAACCACCCTTGTAAATCAGTAATCCCCCGACGCAGAAGAGCCAACTCTGGGCAGAGAAGAAGAAGAAAGAGAATCGGAGATGGCAGGGAAGATGAGGAGCGAGGCCAGCAGCAGCAGCAGCAGAACTAGCGATGCCAACACCACCGACGAAGACAACAACAACAGCAACAACAATGGCGGCGGCGGCTTCGGCAGCGAAAGTCTGGTCGTCGATTGCGGAAGGAATCGAAGCTCTTGCGGCTATTGTAGATCCCCCGGTCGCACCAGCATCTCTCACGGTTCGTCTCTAAATCCTCTCCGTAATCGCTTTGCTATCTTCTCTTTATGATTCTTTGTTTTCGTGATTGGATTGATCGGTGTTGGTTGATTCGATCGTTTGTTAGAATTCTTCTTGTTGATTGGAATTGAAGTTTGGACCATCAAGCTAATCAGAATTTCTGTGGATCTTTTGTTTTATTTGATTGTGTTTGGTTATTTGGTCAACGATGTTTTCGAGGGGAATTCAGAGAAATTTGCGTAATTTCAAGATTTCGTGTTCTTGAGACTAAGTGGAAGTTATTTTATGTTTCTTTTTTCTTTTTAATTTTTTTTACCGTTTATATTATGTGAATTAGTACTCTAATTAAATTTGAAAAAGTTATAAGAATTGTCGATAAGTTCGTTCACCACTCTTGCGATGAAATCTGAGCATGATCAAATTTTGCTTGGTTGCGGACACTTATTTTTCTACTTGAAACGTTTGTTACTTTCTCTTTCAGAGACCAACTAACTATCCATGTCTCGTCTCTAGTGCATCGGAATAACTGCATTGTTATTTTGCTTATGTCTGTAAGTTGATTGTATCGTGTGGATGAGTGATATAAAAACCGTATACATGAAGAAACAAAAACATGCATTTAAGCAAACCCATTTAAAGTAACAAATGTCCTTTCATTATTTTGGGGTTGTATCTACCACGTCATATTTAAGGATGATGCTAGGGATCCCAAATAATCTGCCAAATGTTACCAAGTGATTCCACAAGTAAATGGTTATTTTCCAATTTATGGAATCAAATTGTACAAATTTGTACTTTACCAATTGGAGCATAACAACTCAACGCATCACATCATTTGGTACAGAAAATTTGGTAGATAACGCGGGATTTTGAGCATTTCCCTTAGATTAACGTTCGTTGTTCTAACTGTATTATTTTTGTTTTCGCGTGTGGTTAAACAATCATGTATAGATAATTTATGTCTGATAGTGGTTCTATATTTATTGGTTTTGCAGGTTTATGGGCTCGTAGCCTTACAGTTAATGACTATCAAGGTTGGCGAATTTAACTCTTTCTATATTCTGTAAATCTGAAACTTGCTTTTGTTTTTGTACACTATAATAGGGCCCTTGATCTTCGTGATGTCATAGGTCTGATTTCCGACGGTTATATCCTGAATATAAGGCATCCTTGTAAAATTACATAGCTCGTCAACTGGGGTGGTCTGACATTCCTGTTCTGATGCTGGATGCTTAGGGTTGTCTTAAACTCCACATACTCTCACCATAATTCAGTGTGTTACTGAACCTATGTTTTTAGATGATCTTTAGACGTTCCTGACCCTGTGCTTGTGAATGCTCATTGTAAGCAGGGTCTTCCATTATCTGAAATAAACTAATGAATTATATTCCCAAGAGTTGGCCTCTCTAGCAATATTTTACGTCTCAACTCATTATATTATATCACAAACACACACACACACACACACACACATTTGTGTAATGTCTAATGTTCTAGAGGAGAATTTACCATTTTTTGTGCGAATAAGATACCATTATTTTTCCTGTTGTTTTATTGGCCAGTTTTTATTTATTCTGATTAATGTTTAATTGCTTTATTCATAACTAATGAAATTTTCTTAGATCTTCTTGACCGAGGTTGGAGAAGATCTGGTTCTTTCCTTTACAAACCTGAGATGGAAAAAACATGCTGCCCTTCTTATACTATTCGTTTGAGAGCTGGTGATTTTGCTCCTTCTAAAGAGCAACTTCAAGTGACTAGACGGGTGCAAAGGTATACTTTTATTGCCTTTTCATTTGAGGGGCATTTCTTTTTACAATCTGCGAAAGGAGAAAAAGAGAGTCAACGGTTTAGCTAAGTTCATTTGTTTTCATGCAATTGTGCATGAAGTAAATATATGGTGCTGTGAGGTGACAGATTTTAGGTCACTTGAAAATTAATGTGTATCCATTATTATGTAGTGCTTTAATTAATAAGCTAAAAATTGTTTCGAGATTTTCAGGTTATTTTCAAGTTCTGAAAAGGATGTACTTTCTTGTGAATATGTTTTTGTAGTGAGCCCTGACAACAGTCTATGCCTAGGTTTTTAGATGGAAGCCTGGATTCTAACAAGCCAGTCAGATTAAAGGAGGATTCAAATGCTTCTAAGGGAACCTGCAGTTCTGCTGATCTTGGAGTTTCAAGCTCATCAATGAAAGAATGCTTGTCTAGCAGCAATGCAGAAAAAAATAATGCTGAAAAAATCTTGCAATATTTAGCAGACAAAATTGATAATTTGGTGCACACGTTTGTTGAGAGTGGGCAATTTCCTAATGATCTTCAATTGCCAAAAGCTTCTGTTAAAAAGGTTTTACAAGGAAAAAGAAAGCTATTTGTTGAGGGATCAGAAAATCTACTTTACTGCAGCAATATTGCATTCCAAATAGCGGCTGCCATAAAAAAGCGAGCAGAACCTGCTATGGAGGATACCCACCGTTCAAGAGTTTCCAAAGAGGTTAAGGATGAATGGTCTTCCAAGGCTATTTCAGAAAAGCTGGCAAGTTCCCTAAATCAGCTAGCAGAAACCTCTGGCCTTTCTGTCAGGGCTTGCAATGGACACATAAATTTTTATTCTGGCACCATTAAAGCTTCCTTAGATGGAAGTGCTGAGGTTGTGACTGTGACCGAAGGATCTGCTGCAAGACGTGAAAGTAAACCGTGTTCTTTGGGGAATAGCTATGAGCATTCCCCTGTAAAAAGAAGAAAGCTTGAGATCCATTTGAAAAGATCCAGTTTTGATCCAGAAGAGTATGCATTGTATAGACGTTATCAGATAAAAGTCCATAATGATACACCAGATCATGTCACGGAAAGTTCATATAAAAGATTTCTGGTCGACACTCCCTTAATCTTTGTTCCTCCAACCAATGACGGTACAGTTCCACCTTGTGGCTTTGGCTCTTTCCATCAACAATATGTAATTGATGGGCAACTAGTTGCAGTTGGTGTCGTAGATATCCTCCCTAGATGTTTGTCAAGTAAATATTTGTTCTGGGATCCGGACTTTGCCTTTCTATCACTTGGCAAGTACTCAGCGCTTCAGGAAATAAATTGGGTGAAAGAAAATCAAATCCATTGCCCAAGTCTCCAGTTTTATTATCTTGGGTATTATATTCACTCCTGCAATAAGATGAGATATAAAGCAACATATCGGCCGTCCGAGCTTCTTTGTCCTCTCCGTTACCAGTGAGTTACCTTTGTATACATAAATATGACCTTGCAGGGCATGTAATGCCTTTCTAAGACGACATTATCAATACCGCTTTTTTATTTTGAATTTGACCTCTTATCTTATGTGTATATGCCATGCTGCGTTCCATTACCCCTTTCATTTTTTAGTTGATATTCTCTCTGACATGTTTTTTAAGGAGAAAAACCTTAGATGGGAAGAAATAAATAGATGACATTCGAGCTGCAAATAAGTAAAACTTAAGTTGCGAAAACTTGCTAGTGTCGTGGACATCCCAAGTGTTTGATTTTTCTGATGAGCTGATACGTGATTTCCCTTCTCCAGGTGGGTTTCATTTGATGTTACCAGGCCTTTCCTAGATCGAAAGGCATACGTCGTCTTATCAGATTGTGCTCTCTTACAAGATGGAGAGTCTTCAGACCCCAATGCTTCTGAGCAAGCCATGGAAGTGGAACACAATGACATTAGCTTCGAAGGCTCCAACGATGTTCCTATGCATCAGACCAACGAGGACGCTGATCCTGAATACGAGAGTTCGGACGATGAATCAGGCGGAGAATCCAGCGATCCGGAATCTGTTCAATTCGAAATTGGAGATATCAACAACATTCTAATTGGGTTGAAAGGAACTTGTCTAAAATACAAGGTGTGTATTTCCATTGTATATTTAGTGACTCAAAAATATAGCTCTTTCCTTTGTCATTTAATTTACTCACCAGTCACCACATTGTGCTTACCCCATGCAGGATCTACAGCGAGCTTTTCGTCCCTCGAAAAGGAGTTACTTGGAAACCCAGTTGCATAGATACTTGAGAGTTGTAGGCAAAGAGGTTGGTGAGCGGATGATCTATTCACTTGGATGACTTGATTACTTCTTCGAGGCTTTATTGGATTCCAATCCCGAAAACAAAAAAAAAAAAATATATATATATATATATATATATCAATGTACATTCATGAATTTGTTGTCTAGTGCGGTGATTACTTCTGGGGCACAAAAAGTTTGATCTATAATGAAAGCTTTTCTTGTATTACGCATTGTTCATTTCAGTTTCTTCCTTCATCCAGGTTCACTATGGCATATGGATGTGTATTTATCCATTTAGATATACCAAGTAATCTGCCTTCTGATTGCTTCAATGAATAGAACGTGGGATTTGGATTAGTTTTTTCTTTTTTGTTGGGCTCTATACTTAATCAATTGAATTCCTTCGAGACTCGAATCTATTTCAATTGTCTTTCGTAGAGCTCAATAGAGAACTATTTAACAAGCCTTGACTATTAGTATAGTAGTAATCTGAAGAAGAAAAAAAATGTCTCCAAAACATATTGATGCTTAGAAGTTGGAACAATGTTTGAAACTTATTTATTAGCTTTTAAGCTCCCTTTGCAGTTTATCTGGTAGGTTTTAAAAAGATAAATTACTGGTATTTTTTTTGTTTTTAACCGTTAAATTTAATTAAAATTACGTGAGACATAAAAATATGCTGTATAAATAATTTTTAATAATTGTTTCAGAATAAACAGTATCTAACAATTAAAAATAGGAACTACTTATGAAACAAGCTCTATTTTCGTAGCTCTCCAACAATTTCTTCTTCTCAACTGAGAATAGAAAATAGATCAAAAAGGCTTCGGTCCTCCCAGGGAGTAGGGAATCTTTTAGAACTTGACAGGAGACAAGTGCCACCGGGCAACGACGAAGTGAGTCCCACTGTTAATCGGTGCCACGTGAAGCAACACCTATAATTTTGGCTTTCGAATTTCTTGCAGAATAATTTTGACTTTCTAATTTCAGCCGACCACTTCTGCCGCTAGATTTTACACAAACCAACGGCTTCTTTCTTCAACTGCCCTGGACAAACTTGAAAAATGGCAGTTGTGAAAAATAGAAATAAATATTATAATATTGATAGTTAATCCTTAAATATGAAAGTACTGTTAGCTAATTTATGGTTAATTTCACTTTTGCCCACTGAAGTATGTTTGTTATTCTATTTTTACCCTTAAACTTCAAAACTTACAAATTGCACGTAAAATTATGCTCCTTATCTCATGGTTGGCTATTTAGTCACAAAAAACTTAAAAAATCGAGAGAATAAACCGTGTGAACTTCACATTACTGAATAATAAATAATATTTTAGATACGTCTTTAAGGTGAATTAAGTAAATTTAGCACTCATGATTTCGTTACCCAACACGTTTATGTGATGATTTTTTTTCTCAAACATATTCTTTTATTGCGAAGGAAAACTATGGAGAATAAAATAAATAGCAAAAATACAATAAATAATTGAAGTAAATAATAAAATTTAAAATTATTTAAAGTTAATAGCAGTAAATTAAAATTTTATTTAATAAAAAAATATTTTTATCATATAAATCCAGTAGTAAAAAGAACTTTTACGTAATAAAAATTTTATCACTTAAATCTTTAGTTACATAAAAAAATTTATGAGGCATCTTTTTACTAATATTTACTTTAAATATTTTAAAATTTGTTATTTACTTAATTTAATTTAAAAAATATGCTATTTACTACCGTCAAAAAATGGATATTTGTTCTTTATGAACATTATTATAAGAGTATTAATACTTCAAAATAGTTGGAAGGAAAAAATATCTTAACCCCTTATTTGTATTAAAAATCACACTTAACATTCACAACACACACATATTTGATTATTAATTCTGAAATAATTCGGCAAATAAATTATCTATCACAAAAGCTCCCAAAAAAAAAAAAAAAACATAAACTTATTTTTTTAAAAATTTTCTCTAGTAAGCCTAGCTTACTTATAGTGTCAGTTTTTTACTATTTGATAGCTTGATTTTATTACTTACCAATCTTGACTATTTTTGTTGGTTCTTGGTGGTTTTAGTGTGTTTTTATTGTGTTTTATCTTTCTTTTGTACGTTTGAGTTAAAATGAATAAAAAGATCTTCAAAAGAGTGGAATTAGGAGCCAAGTTCAACATTCAAGCCGCTGCAGTGGAATTGAGTACCCGCTACAGCGTAAACTCCAGCAACCCTGCCCTTGGATGCTGCCGCAGGCGTTGCAGCGCCAACATTTTACGCTGCAGCGCCCCCAAGAAACTGAAGACCCGCTGCAGCGGGAAAGCCTGCACTCTTAGGGTTTTTTATGGAATTTTAAGTGGTGCTGCAGCGGGAAAGTGATCCACTACAGCGCCTCCACGCGTTCTACAGTCTTTTAAGGCTTCATTTGCACTTATTTCGAAGGAGGTATAAATAGATCTTGACAAAAAAACTTAAGGGGAAACTGGAAACACAAAAACAGAACTACAAGAGTAAAATATGAGGTTTTGGAGGGCATGCCTGGAGATTGGACAAGAGCTTGAAGATTTGGAGCATGTTCTTCAACGAGTTTTATTGCCTTCTTCTCCTTTCTCTTTTTTCTTCTAGATTTTGTATTTTTCTTGATTGTGTGTAGATCATGGATATGAGATTTGGATTGTCTATAGTTTATGCTATGGGATTCTTGATGTATACTTTTAGCTAAACTCTTTAAAGCTAGGGGTTTGATGTTGTTTTACCGTTGCTATGTTATGAAGATTATATATGCTTGTTAATGTATTTTCACTTCAATCCATTTGTGTTTCTCTATGCTAATTGTTTTAATTTGTGTTTTCATAAATTAGAGATATAGACATGTGGATTTAAGCTTGGGAGGGTTATTTTCACATGTTAGATTTGGGAAAACACAACCTAGAGTTAGTTGAGTTTGGGAGGCCAATTAATTCGGGTAATCAATATTAGGTTGCTTAATTGATGCTTGATTTGGTTAGGCTAATAGGGATATTGTTTAACTAGGTCTTGCATATTATTTTACTCGGCACTCAGGGGAGGGAGTGAAATTACTTTCAAAATCCTAAGATTAATGAATTGAGTAAAATTAGTTAACAAGTTTAAGAATCGGATTAGCATAGCTCGGTAGGATGAAATCGGACCCCTAGCAACCTTAATACCATCAAAGTTCCCTTCGATCCCTTCTTGTTTCTAAATTTCTTCTTTACTTGCTTTGTTAGTTTAATTCTATTGTTTTAATTGCTACAGTCACTCGAATTTGATTGCTTAGATAAAGTTATAGTTATTGTAATTGCAGTACTTAGTTTAACTTGCAAAAACTCAATCTTTGAGGGACGATACCTGTATTTAGGTATACTTTATTACTTTGTGATTCGTTTACTTGTGAGCACATACATACTTCAATTGAATCAAAAGCAATTTCGCAACACTATTCCATCATGTTAAAAGTATGTAGAATAAATAGTTTCTAATACAAATCTAACGGCTAAAATAAGGAACTACTGGTAGTTTATTTTTTCTAATCTTACCAGAGAAGTGTTTTTTTTTGTTTGGTTCCTGCCAAATTCTCTAATGTTGTAGGCCACAACAGAAATAACCTCGTGAAGGGATAACACACCATAATAGCCCTGTTTGGAGTTGGTTTTATTTTTATTTTTTACATTTTTCAAGAAAGAAAAAATGAAAAACGGTAGAGAAACGGCGTTTAACACAATTAAAGACAAAAAAACAGAAATGAAAACAATTTTTTGATTTAGTGTAAAATGAGAGATAAATGAAAAATAACTTTTAGTCGTTTTTCATTATTTGTTTCTGTTTTCTCTTCTCTCGAGCACAAAGAAAGAGAGAGACATTAATGGATTTTTTATACTGAAAATAATTTCTTGATAAAACTACCAAACACATTTTCAAAAATTATTTATGTCTGAAATTGAAAACATTTTCATTTTCATTTTCATACAAAAATAAAATTATTTTAAAATGAGTTCCAAACGTACCTAATATGTCCGAGATATTTTGGCCACAGAACTGCAACAGAAGAAATAATACATGCAAGTGTCACGGTCGTCCAGTTAGAATTTAGAAAAACACTAAAAACTCCGATCTGATGTAGATTAGATGCTTTCTTAGCCCATGACAATAACAAGAAACCAGCACTTTACGGATCATAATCAACGCACATTGATAGATGGATTATCAGCCTTTCAGTTAATACTTTTTTTTTTTTTTTTTTTTTTGCCCCCGAAAGCAGTGCAACCCGGTACTTAACCTGCTCAAAACTTGGTAGTGACAGAAGATGCTCGGTACTAGACTACATCAAGATTTTTGTGTACAAAAATACAGTACCTGAGAAATATCTTGATATGTGGAGAGAAATGGCGAATATAGAAATTGGAAGCAGAAAAAAATCCACCCGAAATCCAATGCTGTGTCTAATTCGCATGTTTGATTCATATTTCATTTTTCAAAAGTCAATATTCAAACGTATGAACCAAAAAGACCTGCAAGTATACGGCCACGTATGCTTAATTGTTTCCATGTTACATCACGAGTATTTTGAAGACGGCTTAAAATAGACCGGTTTAGAAAATAGTCATTAAAGGATAAAAGCATTATTTTTAAGTTTCACCGTATGATTGTGAGACATATTTGATTCATTAAAGTTTAACAATTAGTCAATCCCCCTAAGCTTAATTTGTGGAGTAACTAAACGAGGATATGCCTTGTGTGTTTATACCACTTAAGCCACATATAGTAGGAAAAGGCAATGGCTATTTGTCCATTACTTGCCAACAACCGTGCCTTAGTTGTCTAATACCAACATACACAAACCTTTAACATTGTAGGACATGAACACAGGAAAGTTAGAACACATTGTCATAATCAACAATAAAATGTTATTGTTATTGAAGAACGAGCGGGCGAGGAGCCACCCCAAATGAGAAGTTTGCAGTTTTGGAACGAAAACATGATTTGAACAATATCAATGGAGAGTTAAAGAATGTACAATTATTATTGGATATCAATGGAAATCAAGCATCATCTGCATCACTTCCGCCGACCTGCGTCTCATGACTAACCCAAAAATTGTTTCCGTCAGGACCCGAAACCTTGACCCTGTCCCACATTTAAACCAACAGATTTTACTTGCAAAGATCAATTTATAGTTACTAGTATTGGATCCTTTTCTCTTACTCTAGATCTCTATAATCTACTAACCGTTCGAGAACAGATTTTCCTTCCTTGTACTTTTGGCTCTTTTCATGGGCAGTCTCCTGAAAGAAATCATAAAAATAACTTATAGAGGCAAAAGAATGTACAGAAATTATAATCCATCATGGTATCACTGCTTCTCAATCTTACATATTTCCACCCAACAATCGAGCCACAGCCAACACAGAAGATGTCAGCAACAGTGTGCAATCCAGTCATCATCAATCTCTCCTCTTTCTCTCCCAAAGAGACGTTAACTCTGTCAAATAATCAGAGATAAGAACTACCTACTAGGAAGGATTAATCATGTAATGTGCACCGACTTCTTTTCACCAAGAAATCAGCCTTGATCATCCAATTTTAAATCCAGCTCTCAAAGAAACCACTTCTATATGCACACGTATAAAACTGACAAAAAGGGCCTAGATTCCAGGGCATTGGAGCTTATTAGTGGCCACTGGCTATTCCATCATTACATTGTGATAAGACGAAAGCGTTGTTATTATACACAAAACCAACTATTGCATATACAACAGTACACCAACCAAGGAAGTGCGAACTCGGCAGTATAAGATTTCTGGTTCTACTAGTACAAAAAACCCCTTAACTTCTACATGGCACTAGAACGTGGTTTAAGAGTCAAAACTTAGTGATAGGGTTATTAGTCTGCATACTTGTATTCATACTGACACAAGTGTAAGGGGCACACATAAAGAAAACTTACACCTTACTGAAGAGATAAGCTTTCCCATGCCTGCTGTGGAAGGACTGAATCAAACACAGGCAAAACACGTAGTCAGAAATTTGCTACTCACAAAACTCGCTTTCAACATTTGTAGGATGCGAGAAATTAAAAACTCTAAAAATGTCAAAATAATAATAATAATAAAATAAAATAAAATGAAAGAATAGAGCTTTTAGCAAACTGAATTAGCATTGAAGTGTATCCTAAAACTTGTCGCGATTATGGCCCCGTTCATTTCACTGATTCGAGTTTAGAATTCGAGTTTTGTTATAGTAAAAAGCTCTAAAAAACAGCCACATCTAACTTTTTTACTACAGTAAAAAGCTCTCATATAAAGTCACATACTCGAATTAAAAATTCGAATCAGCGAACTAAACGGGCCCTACAAATTAAAATGTAGCTTGACCCAGCATCATATGTGATTCAACTCCACTTAAAGTCCTATCCCCTCTAAGCTCGTATTATTTGTGGCAACAAATACGAGAATACATGCACTAATGCATGTAAATTCCATAACTGCCCTACCAGGAAAAGTATCTTCTGGACAAATTGGCTAAAATGCTAAAGAATACTTTAGAATCAAACAACAAAATGTGCTTTCAGCTTACTAGAAAGCTAAAGAATGCTTCAGAACCAAACAACAAAATGCCTTCCTACTACATATAAGCACACCACATAAGCAATGAATATCAAAAACTAGTCACTACTGTGCAAGAAACCGTTCCTAGATGTACCCTAGTACTCAAAACGAGGATCAATATTAAGACATACGCATTCTTCCACATATGGTAAGGTGTTGTAGAAAGTGTAAAGATGCCGATAAAGCCTAATCGTTTTTTGAAGTACCCCCACCATGCACCCCAAAGGCTAATCGTGGCCAAAGACTTAGTTAACCATTCGAAGTGTACAATGTAGTTCTTCTTGATTACAAAAACAAAAACAGATTTCCAAAAACGTTCTCAAGATATGAACTGTGAATGATGTAGCATTCTCTCGCATTACCAAACAAAACAACCACAAAAACGAAATGCAAAATCTACACTACACGGCATCGTTCAAGTCATAAATCACCAAACATTGAAAAACATGTAGCACTTTCCTTATTAGTTTCAGAATCATTATAAAACACACCCTCACTCGCTCCACTCAAAAGGCCATAATGCTGATCAATAATACAAACATTACAGAACATTTAAGTGGAACAACGAAGCTTAACAGAGCAGCATTTTCCAGCTCCAACAAGATCATACATTTAGGAAGATAATTACTTGGGGAATCTTAAATTCTCATTTTTCCAATTTAGGAAAAAGAGAGAGAGGGATATCAAAGGGCCAAAATTAAAACATGGATATAAACTATGAACAAAACAGCATCTATTACGTCGTGATCATCCAGTATTGTTTCAAAATTTTTTTTGTTTCTTTTTTTTTTTTAAGGGTGGAACATGAATGTTGTTTCACTTGATATTAAGATAACATATCTAACAAAACAAAGCTTCCCAGAAATTTCGCGGAAACAGCACAAACGCATTATCAGGGGGGGGGAGGGAACCAAGGGAGTTGCCAACACCCAGATGAAAATTCTAAACGAAAATCACAAAACCAACAAAAATTTTGACTGATTAAAAAAAAAAACCAACATGATATCAAAACAACCTTGGAGACGATGTCATCACAAAGAGCAAGGTGGGTCCGGCAGTGCCTGCAGCTGTAGATCTTCCCCTCCAAACTCACCACAAACAACCTCCCCATCCCTCAAATCTCCTAACAAAACAAAATTCTCAGCCAAAAAAAATCCAAGACCGGAAATAAGAAGATTAAGGATTTCAGCCAGAAGGGTCGTTGAGAAAACCGACCAAAAATAATAGTAAAGAAGAAGAAACGAAAGGCAAGATCCAAAATGGGAAACAAAAGGCAAATAAGGAAAAAATAAAAGAAGATTTAGAGAGAGAATCGTTGAAAATTTACCTGCGCAGTTTAGCTTCTGATTTCCTGTAGTTCGCAAGAAATGTGGGCCGAGAAGCTATCGCATCTCACAAGTCACAACACAACAATTATAAATGGCTTTTTTTTTTCCTTCTTCTTATTAATCTGTAAAAGTGGAGCATTGACAAGACGTGTATATTACGGTTTTTTCTCTTCTTTTCGTTTCGCTCTTTTTGAAAACTTCTTTTTTTTAAAAGAAAATTAATTAACTGATAAGTGATAAGTTTCTTTTGAAACGATGCAATTTAATATGAAAATAAAATAACTAAGGAAAGCATAATTTAACTGTTTAATCCCTTTGTTTGCACGTATTTACATATACTGCCAACAATTATTTTTTTAATTGGCGTATTGGCCATAATTCCATAAACTAGTGGTATTTTGTCCAAAACCTAACTCCTGGCATTATCTTCTCATCAGCTTCCAATATTTTACTTGGAGACAAAACCCATGAACGCGCTTTCTTTTGCCGAGCTCTTTCCTTTTTCTTTTGCTATATTTGGTAAGGGGTGAAAAAGTAAAAGAATGGGATTGAGTCAATGAAAGGAGGAAAAATAGGGGAAAAGGGGGAGTTTCAGCAAAAGAAAAATCAGGGGGCTTCTAATTCTTTTCTCCGTGGGATAAGCATTATTATTAGTTTTAGAATTATAAGTCAAATTTTATAATTATTTCTTCCGCCCATTTGATTTGATTTGATTTTTTTTTTAAAATACACAATTTTCTTATTAATAGCCATGACATAGTACGCAAAAAATAAAGTTAAAGGTTTGATACAGGGTTTTAGAACTAAGAATTATGATTTTGGTTTAAATTTTTATTTATTTATAAAAAATAAAAAATAGTTTTTAAAAATTAGTGTTTAGTTTTGATGATTATAGTTTAAAATTTGAATATTGATGTGATGTTTTAAATTAGAATCACTCTAAAAAAATAAAACCACCTCCTCCCTTAATTTTAGATGATTCAAATCTCTAATTATGATTATGATTCTATAACTATAGTTTAGATCCAAATTCAAACCATAAATCATGATTTTAATTCTAAAACTGAAATTGTAATTAACCTATTATTCAGATAATGCTTTTCCTAATATCTTCATCTAACCATGGATACTTAAGGTAAGGTATAATCGTAGAAGTATATTTCTGTAATTAAAAAAAAAAATTGAAGAAGTATATTTCAAATTTTCAATCATATTGCTACTTATTTCCCTTCTATATTAAATGGAACCTGAGAAAAATATTCTCCTTCTCTCTTGCTGAGTTCTCTTTCTCTCGTGGTTGTCTTCTCTCCTAACAAATGTGGCATCAAGTCACGGCTACTAATTAGGATAATAGTGACAGATGGGTTCTCGATGAAGCTTCAATTATCTGTAGAGTTCAATAATGGGCGTGATGATGATGTAGTTGAAAGTGACAATAAAATTAAAAAGGGAACAAAAAGAAAAAGGCATGAAAGCACTGTGGCAACCACTTAAGATTCATGAAGATATGTGAAAGCAAATACCATTATATTTATTTTTCTTTTTAAACAAACAAAAAAAAAAAAAAGAAAGAAGAAAACACTTTTGGCTAACTTGAGAAATGGAGCTTTGTCCAATCATGCTAATAAGTTTTCACCAATTTCACTCTTTTTTATTTACCTATCAACTCCTAATAACTTCAGACAAGCTAAATATGGTATGTCCTGAATATATATGCATCATGCGTCTCAAAAGAGTCAATAACTTAAAGGATTATCATAAAGTGTTAGTTTATCTTTTTCTCAAATTCATCAAAAAATTTCAAAAGCAATTTATTTTTATTTTCTGATACAATGTCAATGGCAAGTCTAAAAACAAATGGACGTTGGAAAATAAAATGGATCTGGTTTAAAATTAAAAAAAAATAAAAAATAAAATAAAAGGTGGTAGGAAAAGCAGACGAGTTGAGAGAGAGAGAGGGGGCTTTTAAATTTCGAAGGTAGCACACAAAATTCAACAATTTTGAGGTGATGAAATTGACTTCAAACCTAGTTGGTGGCTCGTTAATTCTTTAAGCACTATGTCATGCACCCACAATTGATCAAATTAGAGTAAATACAATTGTCGGATTTGCATATTATCATAGAGAAAGACTTCTAAACTGGAAATTGGTATCCAATTCTTTCTAACCAAAAATGAAAAAAATAATAAAAATAAATAGAACCAACTCCATTGTCTGTCCAACTGTGAGGTCAGCACGCTTTTCATGCCGAGTGCTAACAGCATTGTTGCTGTAGCATGAGCACCGCCCACTAAATTTTGCTATAAAGAAAAAACCAAATTATGAGTGAGTTTCTTTTTTTTTTTCTCATTATAGTATAAATTAATACGAGGCATGTATTTTTATCTCACGTGTTTCTGTTTGTTTTCTTTTCTTTCATGCCATTTTGATTGCTCCCAAGTATAGAATTAAGATGTTTAATTCCTAGCAATCCTTGCATTTGTTTATTAAAAGAGAGTAATTGGCCTTCCAATTAACAGCTCAAGTGTTTGAAAGAAATTGATAAATTAGGCTTCATTCACTTCGTCGATTTGAGTTGAGATATGATTTTATTTGAAAGTATTTAACTGTAGCAAAAAAAATGTTAGATGTGACTATTGTGAGAGCTTTTAACTGTAACAAAATTAAAATTAAAAATTTAAATCGGTGAAAAGAATAAAGAATGAAACTGAAATAAGAGGAACAACATTAATTCTGTGTCGTTCGAAAACTCTGAGGATGTGAAACCTACACTTGTCCATCATATCCACCGAACGACGCGTCAATAAAGACACGGACAAAGATTGACAAATTTCATAAGCTGGGTTATGCTCCAGTGGGTTCTCTTTCAGGGGGTGGCTACGTGGCTTTGCCGACCTCCAATGAGTTGTCAAAGGCCTCATAGGCAATCCATTGTACATTTTTGTTTCTATGTTTAATTTTGCTTAATTACATGTTTTTGGAGTTTGATTAGTGGGCGGTCAGTAAGTAAGAATTGTGATATGATTGCACATTTGAAGCAAACAATAGTGGAAAATGGCAGTCAAATAGTGCATTATCTTTTCTTAGACATACACATGTATAAATATCATAAATATTAAACGAAGACATATAACGTGATGACGATCATGAGTGTCCAAAAGAATAATTGGATACATATTATAGGACGTTAGTGAAATATTAGAGGTCTCTTATGAACAAAGAGAAATTACCGGAATAATACTATAAGACATCGATAGTGCTGAGCATCGTTCACTACTACTAACTAAAGGTGAATCGTGCACTAAAGGAGCTAACCATACCTTCTATCAACGGTGGTGCTCCCGTTGAGTATTTTTCGAGAGGCCGTGATGATCACTTGTTAAAGGTAGCTATGAAACTGATTGGGCCTTTTCCAGTGACAGCGGCTTGGATGCCAAATATGAGGAAAGCAACCATGGCGAGGCGAGCGTGCTTGATCTCAGCCAGTTGAAGCCTCTCTTTCTCTTCCGGGTCATTGGCCAAGCCCAATGGGTCAAAGAATTGCCCACCAGGGTAAAGCCTCTTCTCTGGGTCAAGCTCTGCGTTTCTTTGGAACTCGATGTACCCAATTACTACAACCTCTATCCATATTAATGTCGAAAGTGAGAATGGAAGTGGCTGCCCAAGGTAAGATGATCCTTCAACCAGCTCCACCTGTTAACAAAAAGTAATGATAATAATAACAACAATAATAACAATAATAATAGAAAATAAATGTTAAGCCAAAAATGCTCACAATTATATAATAAAAGACAAAATTACAAGTTTTTGTACTATTGTGTGATAGTGTTAATGTATCTGTACTATTAAGGGATCATATATATTGTAATTGTAGTTTTTTAAGTGTCCGTATAATGTTAGTTTACGGCTTTACGCACCAGACAAAAGTATAAATGGAACATTTTTAATTTGTCAGAAACCGCTGCTATATGTTTGTCATAATTATGCTTGCGAGGTAAATAGCTGGACTAATCAATTATTAAGGTTTGTTTTCCCCATTATATGTGACAGTTTCAATGTATTTTTACGAATATAAAGTGATTATACACTGTATTTTGCTATAAAGCGACTACGTCTGGATGTTCGTTCTAGACAAAAGGAAAGTATAGAAATACATGAAAGCTTGTAATTTTGTTAATTTGTCAGCATCCGCTGCCATCCCTTCAACAATTATGATTGTGTAGTGGACCACCATTAAATTTTTTTTTCCTGCATGGCTGAGAAGAAGACACGGATGACAGAAAATGCTCTGCCATGTATTTGAGGACGTATCCAGAGAAGACGACACAATTGGAAGATCATGCATGCATGAAATGATGCAGCTAATGGCGCCAAAAAGATCATCCTCCATGCGGAATGTTTAAGGTTTCTTATTCTTCATGTAAATATATTATTACAATAATAACAAACATGTTATAAATTACAAACACACGTATATATACTTAATTAAATAATGCTACAAAACACCATCTGATCATTTATTAAGCTTTGTTCATTATATCTGATATGCGTTAATTGACTTATAATTCATATATAATTGTTAGTTAATAAATTTCTAATCCTTGAAAATAAAGTTGTGTAATATAACTAACTCAAATGTCATGTACCAATTATAATACTAACATTTAGTAACTAACATATTTGGTTTGCTAAGCATTATTATTCATACCTAAAAACTACTATATGGGGAATTATTAATATTGTTGACTTATAGTTATAACATGCATGCAAATATATATATATATATATATGAATCAATTAGTAAGTCTTTTCCATAATGAAAATCCAAAAACTAAAATAATAATAAAAAAACCACCTTGCCAGCGTCTTGCCATGCAACGCCAGTGAGTGCCTCAACGGCGATCGCTCCAAGCGCGCCAAGCATGGCCCAGCGGCCATGAATGAGCTCGCACTCTCGGAACCTCTGAATTCCGAAGACCTCCGAGTAAGGCTGAAACGGCGTCGGATTCACTTCCGCCGTCTCCACCCTCGCCCCGATCACTTCTCCGGCCACATTCTTGGCCAGGTTCTGGTCCAACGAGTCCAGCTCGAACTGCAAGTACTCCGCGGGTTTCGCAAACCCGAACGGGTCGAACCCTCGGTCCCCAACCATGGTGCCGTCCAGCCACTCCGGTGGCTCGGTCCCCGGGAACCACACGAGCCGCTCACCGGACGAGAACTTGGGCTGGGCCTTCTTAGGTGGCGTTTGTGGCGGCGGGGATTTCTTGCCGAACCCAAACCCGAACCGGGCCTGGAATCTCCCGGTGTTTGGACTCGGGTTGTAGATTCGGGTTCCGAAAAATCGTGACGTGGCAGCGGCGGCGGTGGCCATGGTTTGGAGTAATCTTGTTAAGGTTGAAGAAGATGATCAGATCAGTGATGTTGGAGTGGACAGAGTTGAGTTGGAGAAGTGGGGGCTGGTATATACAGAGAGGGGTCTCAGGAATTATGTGATGGGTGTGAATGATTGGGTTTATCCTAGTTTTTTTTGCCTTATCTGCTGGCTTTGAAGGTTGGATGGTTGATGGAGGCTTCACCTTCTTTTGTGGGGCCATGGTAAATTATGCCCTCTTTCTTTCGCTATCTCTATATAACATAATAATAACCATCTAGAGCGGGAACTATCGTGGTTAAAGGTTTAGGTGTTAGATATGATCGTATGTAAAAATTTTAAATGAAATATTTGCCTTACCAGCTAAATATTTATTTAAAGTGTCTAGTATCATGCTCCCCTTATTATGAGGTAGTTTCAACAAATATTCCTGTTAATATTTAAAAAGTCTATTTGTTTCGCTTGTTTAAATTTTTTTAACTAAAAGTGAATTCATTTAAAAAAAATTATTGATAATGGAAAATTTTAAATTAAATTTTTGTAAGAGAAAATATTATAATAAAAAATTCAAACTAATAAAATAAATTGGGTAACATTCAAAGAGATAAACTAACACTAGTCATCCTTTCCGAACTTTATTTCTCTTCATCAAAAATATAATACAAAACAACATGGCAAACACGCCGGTTGTTTTGTTTTTTTTTTTTTTCTGAAATTTTAGCCATCAGTACATATAATATATATATATATATATGTATATATAGATCTTCTTCCATCTCTCGGGTGGGACTTTTCCCCTTGATCATGACATGTTTTCATTATGTGTTGTATTGGCAGTGGACATCATTATGGGTAAATTGTGTGTCCATCAACATTCGAACCTTGTTGATGGTTTATTCTTATGAGTAAAGTGAAACCATAAAACCTATAATGCAAAAAATATTAATTCCCACACCTACGAGTAATGAGTTCAAAGGCCCATTTAGCCAAAAACAAAAGGGCGCATTATCAGCTTGTAGTAGGAGACAATGTTTTGGACATAACTTCCGTGTAGGTCCATGCAAGATACACAAGCTCGCCCAAAGGTAGTCAATGTGATACTTTTCCAATGGACGCCACGCGTCGTTAATTTGTAGATAGGAGTTTCAAAATCAGTTTTGCTTGAACTACAAGTTTGGCTAACCGGCTCTTGTATGGAACTTCCGAAAAAACAGTCATGTTGTCAACCTGAGCACACAAATTGATTCACTAATTGTTGTTTATTAGGCAGTCCTCATTAATGTTTTACTTTAACAATCAATGAAGTTATCGTGTTCTCCTTTCTTAAGCACGAAAGACAAGCAATTTTAAGACAAAGCAGTCAAACACAATAAAATAGCTAATAAATAGACAATAAAGTAAAAATACACCCAAAAAAAAAAAAAAAGGATATGAGTGAAAAAAGAAAATTAAACTAGCAGTCTACTTAGTGGCAGAGCCATTTTTTTTCAACAAAAAAAAAAGAAAAAAAAGAGGACTTAAATCTAATTAAAATGGAACTAAACAACAACAATGTTTTTCATTTATCTATTCATATTTTTTTCTGAATAAACTAAGCTTGTAATGGAGTTTAATATTAATTTTTAACATTTATTGTTCAAAATAGGTGAATTTATATAGTAGTGATATAGTTGGTTTTTTATTTATTAGAGATTTTAAATTTGACATAAGAGTGCTTAAAAGAAATCAAAAACTTATAGTATAATTTAATTTTTTTTAAATGCCATGAAACTATTGTAATAATTAAAAAAAAAATTAGGAGCAAATGAAAGGTAAAAAAAAAAGTCTAAAAACTTGTAAAAGAGGGACAAAATTTTAAAGGAGTTAGAGCGTCGAGAGGGCTAGTTCATTGTATTTTTAATATATAATACACTAAATAGTGCACCGTGCAGACTCTACTCATAAAGTATAGGCCGTTATATATGCTTTTTATATATTTATTTTGTTTATTTTGATAGGCCTAGCTAGCTCTAAATTTTTCCCATGTTGCACGTATGGATAATAACGTCAGGATTAGTGCGGGAATTTTGGACGGGCCGCCCGCGACTATCCGAAAAGTCTGAGGATTTGCCCGAGCCCGAACCCGACCCGCCCGAGATTTTTAGGCCGCCCGCCCGAGCCCGAATTTCACTTTGAACGGGCCGCGGGCTTGTATTCGGTGGCCCGAGCCCTCCCGAATTGCCCGAATTTTTTAAACTTTTTTTTAATATTAAGTTATTTATATATATATTAGTATTACAATTTATATATATATTAAATTTGAAATGAACACACGAACTATATAAAAAAATTATTTCTTTATTAATTTTTAAATTTGTAATTTACAAATACAATGTAAAAAGTAAATACATATTTACAAATTACAAATTTACAATTTAATTTGAAGCTGAGGGATCGTCTTCAAAATTAAATGTTAATCGATTAAATTCATCGATCCATTCTTGGCTTGCCGGTGAAATTGTATCTTGTAGACGTTGATCGGCCCGATCCCAATCCTTAATGCAAACCAAGGCTTCAACAATATCCCTTTGCAATGCATTCCGGCGTTCCTCAAGTATTCTTCCTGTCGTACTGAAAGCTTGTTCGGATGAAATAGTGGAGACTGGGATCGAAAATATATCCATTGCCAATCGAGTTAAGATTTGTCAAGTTAATGCCCGTGCCCTCCACCATTGAACTAAGTCAAACGATTCTGCCGCACTGCCGACTACTAAGCCTTCACTGAGGTACGCCATAAGCTCGTTGAAGCTGCTGCCGCCACTGCCACTTGTTGATGAAGATCCACTTCCACTCACAGCTTCCGTTTGAGTTGTCTTCTTCTTCTTCTTCTTTAACCCGAAAACATTCAAGAATGAATGTGGGTTTTCATCCTGTTGTTGCGGTTCCTGTACTCTAGAGTTTGTGCTTCTAAACCTAATCTCATATTTACTATAGATCTCATATATTTTTGCCTTTATTATTGAAAATTGGTCCGTACAAGTGATGCCTAAAAATTCACCTAAGTTTTCTAAACCACTTTCTAATTCGTCTAATTTTAATCTAGGATCAAAAATTGTACCTAAACTATATAACAAAGGCAACTTAGACCAATATTTTTTAATTTTTTTTTCCATAGACTGAACAGGAACTCCTAAGATTGGGTCCTCCTTATATTCGTGAAATAAAATACTAATTCTTAAAAGTTCTCCTAAAGCTAAAGGTGATGTTGGGTAGTATGTTCCACTAAAAACTAGCCGTTTTCGGGCAATTCGGGCAGTTCGGGCAACTCGGGCAATTCGGGTTTTCGGGCCGAATTCGGGTAAAAATTCAAAAAACTAGCCGTTTTTGGGTTTTCGGGCAACTCGGGTTTTCGGGCAAAATTCAAAAAAACTAGCCGTATTCGGGCGGGTCGGGCAATTCGGGCAAGCGGGAAAAATTCAAAAAATTCAAAAACTCGGGCTTCGGGTCGGGCAATTCGGGCACACCCAATTTTCGGGTCGGGCAGTTCGGGCTTGGTCGGAAAAATGCAAACAAATCCCGGCGGACGGCGGTATACGGTGGTTAGACGGCGGCGGGCAAGGGTGGACATGTCAAATCCAGGCTGCCCGAGCCAGAACCCGAATTTCTTGCTTGGACGGGCGGGAATTGGGCCGGCCCGCCCGAGCCCAAAAAAATTTGGGCTTCGGGCGGCCCGCCGACCCGAAGTTCCAGCACTAGTCAGGATCATGAACTCAATTGGCTTCTTCCAGTTCAATCTCTAGTCTTAGAAGATGATTAGCTAGTGCTTTCCATCACCAAATTAATGACCTTACATATTTTTCATTCATTAATACAATATAGGTTTGCTCCAACCGAAATTGGATGATAATTAGTTATATCTAGATGTCAGAGTCAAATAGATTTGATAAAGTAGTTTATTATAGGATTAAAACACGATAAGAGAAATGAACTTTTGCAATGACATTTCTCGTCGTTAAAAACTCTAATGTCACTAAAATTTATCGTCGCTAAAAGTAAAAAAAAAAAAAAAAATGTCTTTTAGTGATGATATTATGAAAACTCATAGCTAAAAAGGCGTAAAAAAACAAAAATAATAATAATCGTGCAATGTAACTAAAGTATTAAAACTCATCGCTAAAAATTTTGTCGCTAAAAGCTTTTTTTTTTTGTTGCAGTGAAAGATTAAGAATCTGGCATTCCCTAATAAGGGAAATGGGAGCTAATTAGGTTGTAGCGGCTAGTTTTTGTAAAGCCAATAGAACACCATAAAAGTCGAGCCTTGTATTGTTAGATTTCCTCTTGAGCTTCTTCCGCCTTCTGAGATACCTGTACATAGAGAGAGGTTTGAGGGTATTATTAATCTCTATTGATATTGGTTAAGGATAGTGCTCATGATTTTCAGTCCCCCGATGAACTAGATCATATCGATTGAACCTCGTTAAACTCTGTATTTATTTACTCGCGTTTCTTAGGCCCCGTTCACTTCGCTGATTCGAGTTTAGAATTCGAGTTGAGATGTGATTTTATGTGAGAGCTTTTTACTATAGCAAAAAAGTTAGATGTGATTGTTTGTGAGAGCTTTTTACTGTAGAAAAACTCGAATTCTAAACTCGAATTAGCAAAGTGAACGAGGCCAGCTTGTTTCTAATTTTTGGTGTGATTTTTGAGTTGTTTGTGAGAATTTGACAACTGCTTTATTACATATTGCATAGCTTCTGTGTGTAGTCTTGTAAGATTTGGTCCATATTTACCGAGTACAAATTGGGAAACTTTGCTCGAGTTTTAAATAAAAATCTAATGTCTGAGGAAATGAAATGACTTCTAGACTTGTCAGTAAGACAATAATTGGCTTTAGTCCTATATATACCAGTTTTGTAAGAATGAGTTTCTAATTAGTATTAAACATTTTTTTTCTTCAAATAATTCAGAGTTGACTATAAGATAAATCATAATTATATGTTTCGTATTTACACAAAGGGTAGTTCTATTCACACTTTTTTTTTTTTTACTCTCTACACCCGTTTTAAATACACGCCCACATAATTTTAAAAGAGTTAAATTTATTTTTACACACTCTTATTATTCTAAGATTACCCTTAACTATTTTTTATAAAATAATTAATTC